GTATTCTGACCATGAGACCCTTAGATGGTTGAAGACCCAGGCCAAGATGACACCTAAGTTGACTAGGTGGGCCGCAGAAATAGACCAGTATGACTTTGAACTTAAGCCAGTCAAGGGCAAGTACAACGTAGTTGCGGATGCTCTGAGTAGAAGATCAGACTACTTTGGAGCCATAGTACACTATCAAGATATAGGGAGAGACCTGCAGGAGAAAGTGAAGCAAGCGTATGCGCAGGACCCTATCTATAGCGACCTCCTAAAGAGAGTTAGAGAGGCCCCAGAGACTGAGCCAGATTACCGCACTACAGACGGGTTGTTATTTGAGAAGGCTAATGTGTTTGACCGCCTGTGCGTTCCCAACAACGAGGAGATCCGCAGTCTGATTTTAGGGGAATGTCACGATACTGAAGGGCATTTCGGTTGGCAAAAGACACTATCTGATGTGTGCGTACACCTGGCCAGATACGAAGAATGACTGCGTAGAGTATGTCCGCAGTTGTAAAGTGTGCCAGAGGAACAAGTCTACTACACGCGCGCCCCTAGGTCTTCTCAGACCCTTGCCTATTCCGGATCAGCCGGGAGACTCAGTGTCCATAGACTTCATGGACACCCAAGTCAAGAGTAGACATGGTAAGAGCCAAGTCATGGTCATAGTTGACCAATTTAGTAAGTACGCTGTTTTTGTTCCTTTGCCTGCAGAGGCACGTACAGACTTAGTTATACAAAAGTTGTTTGACTTTTGGGTTAGTGAGAATGGAATCCCATTGTCAATAGTTAGCGATAGAGATAGTCGTTTCACCAGCCAGAACTGGCAAGAACTCATGGGAGTATACGGATCTAAGTTGTTGATGTCGTCCGGCCTCCATCCAGTGACCAACGGTCAGACAGAACAGATGAATAAGATCCTACAGCAAGTTCTGCGCATGTACATTAGACCAGACCAGATCAACTGGGATGAGATGTTGCCTAAGGTATCTAGTGCATACAACAACAGCGTGCATCTATCCACCTGCCGCACTCCCAATGAGCTGCACAAGTCCTTTAGACCGCGCAGACTGTTCGAAGGACTCAACCGGGATCAGGTTCACAGACTACCGCCCGGAACCAGGGAGTTTGCTTTGCAGCATGAGAAAGAGTTAGCAACTGTTGTTGAGAACCTCAGAAAGACCCAACATAGAATGATAGAACAGGCTAATAAGCACCGTCGCCCATCACAGTTTCAAGTAGGCGACTTAGTCTGGGTCAAAGCTAAAGAGTTTGCGCCTGAGGAAAACATCTCGCAGAAGTTACTGCCTGCATATAGAGGACCGTGGCCGGTTCTAGAAGTCAAGGGTGGAGAGGATGGACCGTCCTACACAATAGAAATTCCAGCACACCTCCACACATACCCTGTGTTTCATGCTTCAAAGCTGTTGCCGTGTGTCACAAGTCAACAGTTCCCTTCAAGAAGATCCATGATCCCTCCGGATATGGATGGGAGTTATGACATTGACGGCATTGTAGATGAGGATGTGTTCAGAATGGGAGGTAGAGGTCGTCCCCAGAAACAGTATAAGGTCCGGTTTGCTTATCAGGAGCCAGAAGACGACCGCTGGTTTACAAGAACAGAACTTCTAGAGACAGCTCCCGACATAGTCAGAGCCTACGAGCGTGATAAGAAAGGCAAAGGTCCTGCCTTGGACTGAAATATTCTCGGAGGACCTCGAATTTAGGACGGCCTGGCAAGGTTCTGTCCTTGGGCAAAAGCCGCGTCGGCTGAATGTTTCATAGCTAAGTTGAACCTGACAGTAATTATCAGGTTATGGGTTCTTCAAATCCTATGTCATGCAGTGCAGCCCAAGTCCCACTTACCCTGGTTCTTAATTTCTGGCCATTGATTTCTGGAATGGATGGTGAGAAACGAAGAATCCGGTTGGGTGGGACTTTGCACTGATAGTAAGAGCTTTCGGTTTCCAAATGAGAGGAAAGATTGAAAAAGAGAAAAGAAAAAGGTAGGAAAGGAGCCACCACATCACAAGTGAATCAAGTGATTCCCCCATCTTGCGATGTGAAAGAAGGGGAGCCGAAAGTGGTGCAGTTCTTTGAGGGCCATGGCCATGCTTTTTCGTTTGGCATCGGCTTGTGCGTAATTACAGAAAAGTCCACAGTGACTCCAAATGTACCTACTCCAAGGAGACAGCTAGGTGAAAGCCATGCATCTGGGTTTACTGGACGCCGTACAGGTACATTTTCAGTGGCCTATTTGCAGCAGACCCTTTCTATCTTGCCCTGTTTGCACTGCTCTCGGCGTCCAGGTACATTTTCAGTGGCCCATTTGCAGCAGACCCTTTCTATCTTGCCCTGTTTGCCCTGCTCTCCTCCTCGGCTCTCGCTCCGAACAGAAATGGAAAAGAAGCCTTTTCCCCCAAACAGTCCAGCCAGTGGAGGAAAGCAGATCCACAACGGGCCCATTATTAGCGGCTGCCAGGTAAAGTTCACGACCGTGTAAAATATTTAGTTTGAAATTTTAAAACTTTCTATTTGATTTAACCATCACTATGGTAGTCAGCAAATCGTTTCAAATTTCAAATTAGTAATTTACTAAATTCTCTCACCTAGATAATGCTACTAAAAAAAACAGGTGAGCGCTTATGGTGGCCCTTTGTTTTTCCCCGTGCTTTTGGATGCCAGATCACTCGCAAAATGTCTTTCCTTTTCGCACCCCACTTTACCCCTCAAGGATAATTCGGTCCTTCATGATTCGTTTCATTTTTTTTTGTTATCCTCCCCATGCAGGGCCTACACCTCGCTGTCTATTTAGGCTAATTACATTTCGAGTAGCCGATTTCTGTTGAGTAGCCTACTTCTGTGATCGTGTGTTTCACTGTTGACTGATTAATGACCAAGGTCACCAAGCCTTGTGTTTTGTGGATCCTACCCCCCCCCCCCAACACACACGCAACCCCGGGTTTGTTCTCCCCCGAAAGACAACTCCTGAAAAGGTAAATTAGTAAAATTACCCTTCTAAGTTATTCCAACTTATTCGATGCATTAAAGTTTGCAATATGAGTCAATATCTCTCTTTGTCCCTACAGCAACTTCGTCGATGACGCCAGACCTGGTACAATCAGGGAGGAAAGCTACCAGCAGCTGTCCATCATTGTAATCTAACGGTCAGTATCTGTCTGGTCAACATCATCCGTGGATTGGGCCAGTGCTCACCCGGATCTAGCTTTGCCTGTCGTCCCGTCACTGACGTCCTTCAATTTCTGTTGGCTAACTAAATTCTACTTCGTTGTCCATCCACCCTTCCTCCTTCCTCCTCCTCCCTGCCATTCAGAGAATCATCACCGATGCTTTTCTCAGAGAAACATCTGCTGCCGGGCCCACTTCGCAGAGCCCCAAATTGTCCGAAAAACGCATTCAAAATGGCATCTGAAGCCGTTTTAGAGGGTGGGGTGGGGAACATATTTAGAGCCCTCTATTCCGTGTTAACATGGTCTGCAAGCCTCCCTAAACGACCTCTGCAGCTTTGGAGCCAATGGCTGTCCCTCACACAGAGATGATGTGACCTGCAGCTCCCTCCCACAACTGAACTGTGTGCTGTCTACGCAGTTCCTAACTTGCTGTGCCTGCCTAAGGCACACTCACACCACTCCTGGATCATTACGATGGTTGATTGTGTCTGATCACAATTATTAAACCACAAGTACTTGGCCCAGCTATTGGACGCGGAAAAAAAATAGAGTACGGACTACTAGAAAGTTACTAGAAACGTTTGTGGTCTGATGAATTTGGGCGGTCCTCTAGTGGCCCGCACGTTTCCTAAAATGGTGGCTTGTATATGGGCACGGCTTTAGGAAGTACTGGTGGTTTAATTGGAATCATCGCCACTGATGGAAGTCATATATAGGATGTGGTGGCCATTATATAGAATTATTGATGTTCCATAGTAATAGCACCATGTGGTTAAAAAATACTCAAAAAATCAGTGCTCTTTGTTAACCTTGAGCAATGAAAGTCTTTGCAATGAATCGTTGAATGTCCTCAGTTATATATCTCTTGGGACAGAGCAGATTGCTTGTCAAGGATCCCTCTGATTCCCTCCCTCTTCTGCATATGGTGAGGGTGGTACCTCTCCTCCTCTCCTAGTAATGAGGATGATTCCTGAAATATTTTCTTTGACGTGTTGCACAGCACTACGATGAATTTCCAGATAAGCAAACTGCATCACACTGTCAGCAGTTTTGGGTGTCTTGCGACCATGTGTCCAATCAATGTGCTAGAAAATGAGCAATCTGAATAGCAATAAACCAAATTGCAACATATCACAGAAGACCAGATATCATTGAGCCGAAACTGAAAGCAGAATGCAGAGCGAGATCACATTAAATAGGAATGAGCAAAGCATTGAAATCTCTTGATAATGATAACCCTTCCTTCGCCTCCAATTGCCAATACAACCACAATGTGTATCTCCAACTGGCGGCTATCCACCCAGACCCCTGACAGAC